GGAACTTATTCCTGTTCATCATTTGCAGACTCACTAGAGACTCAGTAAGGCACCCGGCACTTGCTGGATGTTCGCATGATATCGATCTCTTTGTGACAGTATGACTGACACACTTCTCATGCTGTCCAGAGGAGGCAGACTGTAATGAGGTCTGTAACACCTTTTTGATGCTGTGAAAACTGCAAACAGATTTCAACTCACTTTCATCGTAGAAGTGAGAATAAAAGCAAATGTAACATGGTAGGTCTTTATGTTAAAAGGTAGCATGTGTTTTGTGTTCTTATTATTTCGGAAGGTCTGTTGCCATTACTGTTATTTGAAATGGACTGTAGGTAATATGTCTGTGTTACCTAAAGGGTACTGACAGTGCCATTCAGGTAACACTATGATGCTTGCGATTTCAGTAATCTATTTTTTCAGACTAACACACTACATCCCCAAAAACCACTGATAAAAAATAAATCATTGTTATGCGAGTCGTAGCTGACAAGTAACAGCGAGTATAGTACTCCTGCTTGCAGGATAGAATCATTATTTATGATAAACTTTCAACCTAATAAACTTTGGTCAAAGTCTCTTGGTGAACCAAATCTTGAATAGAACATTAGAAACTTGGTGCAGGTGTGCAGTGCGGGGAGTACTCCGTCAGCAATCATGGCTCACCTACATAAAAAGAATGAACTGGGTCCTGAGTTCATTGTTGTGTGTGTATAAGTGCAGCTGCAGCCGAGTGCTGAAAGTAATAGCAACACAAAAAAGTTGCCGAAGTGTACGAACTTTGCGGTGGGGTCCGTCATGCTTGCTACAGACATGTCAAGCATGCAAAGGAAAAATCAAATGTTATTTTATTTAGCTAACTTCCCCATTATGTTCAGTCCCTTAGACATCTCTGGATACAGTCTACTTCCTGTTAATAACCACAGATGCATTTAACAAAGATTATAAAAAAATAAGATTAAATAAGTGCCAGTGTTTGTATGATTACCTTTGGGTAAATGCATTCCCTAGTTTTCTATGATCAGATAATTGAGGTCAGCTGTATCAGTCAGCCTCCCCTGACACTACATCCTGAACCCGTTGCTCCACCTCTCTGGACACAAAGCCAGGCACAAACCAACTCCAAAAACCACCTCACCTCATTTTTGCTCTTGGGATGCGTGCTTCTTCAGGTTGGCTGTGAGCTCCGCCTGCCTAAGGGACTCCAGGACTGCAGTCATCCACCGCACATGCTTGCCTGG